ATGTGTGTTCCACCTGCAGGCCAGTAACAGAAGCAGCAGAAAGAAGTCAAGTGGAGAGGCTGGGGCTGGGGCTCAGTGGAAAGCACTTGCCTAGCATGTGTGAGGCACTAGGTTCGATCCTTAGCACCACATTAAAAATAATAATAAACAACTAACGTAAAGGCCTTTGGTCCATCTACAACTAGAAAAGTTTTTTTTAAAAAAAGGGCTGGGGTTGTGGCTCAGCGGTAGAGCACTCGCCTAGCACATGCGAGGTGCTGGGTTCAATCCTCAGCACCACATAAAAACAAATTTTTTAAAAAAAGGGTATTGTGTCAAACTACAACTAAACAAATATATATTTTTTAAAAAGGAAGTAGTCAAGTTGAATCTTTGGAACCTCCCAAAACAGAGATTGTGGAAACCTCTGATTAGATTTCTTGAATTAAACACAAATGCCTTTATTTCACTTGCTTATACTTGAGTTCAGAAATAGTTAAACTGTACTTTTAGCCTAAAGTAATCATAAGTTAGTTAAATTCTACAATATTTATAATTATTATGTTAATGAAGAAAACTTAATGCAAATTCAGTCAAATGCATAAAGATGGTGTAGGAGGCAACTTTTAGTGATACATCAACTAACATTGGACAGCATGCTTTAGGGAAGCAACTTGAAGGTTACAATGCCCAGTGACTGAACACAGCACCTCTGAGAAGCGTGTCACGACACATGCATGACAGGCATCCAAGCCACTGCCGCGCAGTCTCACCTTCTCGTCCTTACTGGGGATAAAGTGGGAAACCAATGTTTGTTCCTATACATTTACAGAAGAGCAACAATAGATCCACTAAGCAAGGAGCGTGAGAGGAAGTTACACAAGGGCACTGTACTATGGCTAGAGCTCCCCACACCTGGAGAGCAGCCCCGTGGGGGTCCCCAGGGCGGGTCTGCTGCTTAGTGCTGGAACTGACTCTGCAGCTCCCTGAGCACCAGCACTGCTCCACTGATGATTTACCGTATGCAGCATTTTCAGGCATGAATTTATTTTATTCTGAAGCTTTTTTTTTTTTTTAATTTAAATGAAAGCTCTAATTTTCTGAGGAAGGTCTCGTGAAGTTCAGTCTCCAGGTCACACTTGGAAACGCAGCAGAAGACGGGGTTCGGCCTCCTTCCTTGCCACTCCTTTACTCTAATGGCTTGCCTCATGCTCCCTGCTTCTGTGATTGAAGTTGCGCCATATTTTAATTGGAGCTCAGAAACTGGAAACAAAAGTACATCTGCTGACAAGGATGTTCCAAGAACTGGAAAGCCCGGGGAAAACCAAAAAAGGGAAGCATCAGATAAACAAAGGAAATGGCTCCTGCCAGCAAGCAAGGGTGAGAAATACACATGTCAAAACAAGCTCCACGTGAAGCGCAGTGGGGGCTCAGAAGTGTCCAGCGAAGCCCAGGCTGCAGGGGGCAGGATGCAGGCGAGCATTTCAGCGCATCGACCCCTTTCACCATACCTGGTGCCAACTGCTTGCTCCACTGTGGGAGAGGGCACCCAGCAAAGGCACTGGGAACACAGAGGAGATGAGACTCATCCAAACAAACAGCATGACTGCTTATCCAAAGACCTGAGAGAAGAGGGGCAAGGGAGAGGGCAGAACAGCATGCCCAGGCTAACAAGAAGAACCAGGCACATGAGGGACTGAGGCCTTCTGTGGCCAATACCCCTTGGTTTGTGTGACTCAGAGCTTTTTAAAAAGCTTCCACTCAACCCTTACTAGTGCAGACACCCCGGCCAGAGTCTTGCCCTCTGGACAGGAAGGAGGAACAGGATGAGGGCAAACTCTGTGCACAGCCTCCAGGAGCAGGCAGCCTCTCCAGGCCAGGCCACGCCTGTCCCAGGGCTGGAGCCTAAGGTCTGTGAGTGGAAGCTGAGGGCATAACAATGCTCACTTCCGGAGCGTCAGCTTTACTAGAAGGTGGAAGTGGAAAGCATAAAACATGGCGTAGTAGAGTGGCTTCCAGTGTTTAAGTTGTTTAGAAGGTTTAGAAGGCACGAAATTTCAGAAAACACTGCCTTGTCTCTGTTCTTCAATCTCTTTTGCAGACTGCCCTGTTCCTAACTGCGATTACACACAGGAGCTGTTGAGGGTCTGATGCAAACCCTTTTCTCTTCTCAGCAGTCTTGCTGGATAGTCTTTTGCCCTCCTCAGGACATGCGTCCCTAAGAACGGAAACCACACACACACAGAACACTGAAAGGTAAAAACTAAAAGTTACCCAAGGAGGGGGAGGAAACAGGATCCAAAGGTCAGGAATGGAAGCTACATTTCTGAAAATTTTATTTTGACTTGGAACCATAAAAAATGTTTTGTGAACCTGTAACAAAATTAAAAAGCTCTTCCTTAAAATTAAGATGAAAATGAAATAAATGTATCGGTGTAACCAGCTGATGACATAGTGAAGAACTGGTTCAAGTGATTAAAAAAGCAACACTTTGGCAGCACATCCCTAAGGATCTACTCCAAGAACAAGAACAACTGCAGAGAAACCTTAGGCTATTTTCAGTGATCCAATTGCTGGTGATATATTGGTACTGCTGCTATAAAATAATAACAAATACTTTACAGGTTAAACAAATGAGTAAGGATGCCCAAATCATCAGGAACCATGACTTCTAGCACAAGAGAAACGAGACAAATATAAAATCCAAGAAGCAAAAAATACTCTTAAAGTTGAAATAAAAATAGTATGAACACATGCCATATTTTCACTTAAAAAGTGTTGTCTGCTGGTTGTTCACCAAAGAGTCTGGAGACAATCACCAGCATCACAACAATGGGCATCATTGGGCCCAGACTGTGGTCTCAGAAACCCAGGAGCCTGAAGCAGGAAGATTCCAAGTTTGAGGCCAGCCCCAGCCAATTAGTGAGGCCCTGTCTCAAGGATTTTTTTTTTTTTTTTTTTTTTGTTTTTGTTTTTTGTGGTGCTGGGATGGAACCCAGGGCCTTGTGCATGCAAGGCAAGTACCCTACTAACTGAGCTATATCCCCAGCCCTAGGCCCTGTCTCAAACTAAAAATAAAAAGGGCCAGGGTCAGTGGCAAGGTACTGGAATTCAATCCTCAGTATCCAAAAAAAAAAAAAAAGATATTGACTCCTACATACAGCATTGCTTAGAGACACTGTGATCCTAGGTCTGGGGCAGAAAAGTTACATGAGTCTAGGACATCTTCCCAAACCAGGAAGCAAGGAGGGCAGACCAGGAGGTATGTTAAAGGACAAAGTCCAGGGAGTTCCTCCAGCCAGAGCAGCACAATGAGCACCTGTAAGAATCACTGCAATGGACTGAAACACTCACGGCTGCTTTAGTTCTTGGATTTGCATGGTGCTCGGCACAAAGGCTACTTACTCTGGGCTTTTTTTTTTTTTTTTTTAAATGGTACCAGGGATTGAACCCAAGGGCACATATCCCTGAGCCTAATCCCCAGCCCTTTTCATTTTTTATTTTGAAACAAAGACTCACCAAGCTGCTTAGTGTTTCACTAAGTCACTGAGGCAGGCCTTGGATTTGTGATCCTCCTGCCTCAACCTCCAGAGCTGCTGGGATTACAACAGGCGTGCACCACCATGCCCAGCGATTACTGCTTACTCTTACAGTGGCTGCAGAATAGACACTTGGGAATGGACCGAGGCAGAATGAGGCATTTATTTATCCTGCCTTTCCCATCTGAACTATCCCAAATATTTAATGATGAATTGTTGACAATTCATTAAGGAGAAGGAAAAGACAAACAGCATATCACCATTCTGCAACCTCTGATGACTGCTCAGGCACAGCACTGGCCTCTATGCCACCAGCAGACCCATGTGCTAACCAGAGCACAGCCACCACCGCAGTGCCTGTTCTGAAAGGCCGAGCCACAGTGACCAAACCTCCAGATCCCCCACGGTTCACAGGAAGTACAGAGGTACATGTTCGTGTTCAGTGGAAATGGCCAGAGCCAGATAGGGAAAACTGAGCACCAGAAAAAAAGACCCTGGATTCCAACCATCAAAATGTAAGGAAACTTGCAGACAGAACTCTAATGATTTCAAGAGACTATCAGCTAACTATTTGGACTCTGCCTCAAACTCAAAAAAACTGAGACTTCTCAGGAAAATGGAATGGTACTGTAACAACAATATGAATACGGATAAAATCTAAATAGTTTTCTTGATACTTATCAATTTATCAAAAAGAGCTATGTATTCAATCTCACTTTGGATGTAAATATTTCAAACTCTTTTTATCTTCATTTTAATGTTCTAACACGTTAAAGTTTTTAATTTCAAGTGTAAAATGCCACTCAATCACATATTAGAGGTTAAACACAGGGTAGTTTGCTTTCTTTAAAATTCCTAAAGACAACTAAAGAGCAAACAGTTCCCAAATCAAAGGATACACTACTGGGAGAAGCAGGCCTGCAACCTTGGCTGCCAGCACTGCTCCCACAGTGGGCAACCCTCTAGGCAAGGGGAGAATTGGGGGCTCTCAGAGGATGGGCCTTTGAGGCAAAGAGCAGGCCACTACTCCTGGTTTTCAAACTTTAAATCTTTCCTGAGCCATTAGGGATCCTATCTGTTATTCTCAGAATTTAGTGCTACCTTTAAAAAATCGAAAAATAAAAGTAAGGAGATGGTTAAAAACCAAAACACCGTGCCATATATAAAGAAGACTCTTAAACACATCTGCTGGAAGGAAATTGCTAAAGCCCAAGATGAGTAAGTTCAGGGTGTTTTGCAATTAGGTTGTTTGTTTTACACAAAACAAAAAAGTAATAGCTAAAGAAATGCAAACACACTAAAAATGTCTAAAGCCATGCACGCTGTGGCATGCACCTATGGTCCCAGTACTTGGGAGACCGACAAAGGAGGATCCCTGCAGCCCAGGAGTTCAAGGCCAGCCTGGGCAACACAGAAAGATTCTGTCTTCCATTGCAAACAAAACCAAAAACAAACAAGAAGTCACATTTTCTAGTAGCATACCTGTGTGTCATATGTTGTAAGAAGATCTATCGAAGCTTGACCGAGGAGGAAGAAGCTTCAGCAAAGCAAGAAGTAAAGCAGTGTCAACCTTAGCTTCTTCCACAGAATGGAGTTTCGGCCCTCACCTAGGAATAAGAGCAACACTTGATCAACTCTCATCTGGAAAGCATCAAAGCTTCAAAAAAGGGCTGGGGTTGTGGTTCAGCGGTAGAGTGCTCGCCTCACACATGCCAGACCCTGGGTTAGATCCTCAGCACCACATACAAATAATAAATAAATAAACAAGCAAACTAATTAATTTTTTAAAAAGGCTTTAAAAAAAAAAAAAAAACAGGCTTCTTATAGGTGCATGCCTGTGATCCCTACTACTCGAGAGGCCCAGGCAAGAGGATTGCAAGTTCTAGGCAGCCTGGGTAACTTAGTCAGATCCTGCCTCAAAATAAAAAAGACCGGGGGTAGCTCAGTAGTACAGCACTTGCCTAACATGCTAGTACTGCAAAATAAATAAATAAATAAACTAAAAAATATAATTTTAAAAACTTTACATTTCTATAGAATGTAAAGATAAACATTTTTAACACTATATGCATATATGGTATAGATTGCATTTCTCCCTAACATTCATGGGCTTTATTATTTTGTTAATAAATTTATTGGTACATTATAATTATTCATAATAGAGGAATTTGTTGTTATGTATTTATACATGCACCCAATATAATCTGGTCAGTTTCATTCCCCTTCTCTCCCCCTCATCCTTTCCCCTATTTCACTCACTCTGTGGATTTCCCACTTTTTTTGAGCAAAGTATACATTATAAAGTCTGCTTCTTTTTACTTTTAAATCACTTTTATCATCAAGGGCTACATACCCACAGGAAATACAGTTTCACTAGCTTACTACAGACCCCAGTCCAACTCCCATGCTGGCCAGGGAGATGGCCTCACTAAACTCCAGAAAGCTTGGGGCCTCTCTGGTCCCAAACCTTGCCCCATGCAAGAACAACTACCTTAACTCTCATGGTTATCACTGCCTCCCTTTTATTTTATTTATTTATATGTGGTGCTAAGGATCGAACCCAGGGCCTTGCGGTTGCGAGAAGAGCGCTTTACCGCTGAGCCATAACCCCAGCCCCTGCCTAGCCCCTGCCTCCCTTTTCTTTATAAATTTATCATTTGGCTAAGTGGCCCTAATATATATATTTATTTATTTATTAAATATTGATTTTTTAGTTGTAATTGGACACAATACCTTTGTTTTTATTTATTTATTTTTATGTGGTGCTGAGATTCGAACCCAGGCCCTTGCACATGCAAGGCAGTGCTCTACCACTGAGCCACAATCCCAGCTCCTAAACTCTTTATTTTTGCTTGCTTCTGTGTTTTACATAAATAGAATCATGGATGAAAGAGTATGTTGTTAGTCAACACTGTTGTGGTTAAGGAAAAAAAAAAAAAGAATGGTACAGGGGAAAAAAAATGCTGCTTTTGCAGCTATAGCTTATTTTCCTTACTTTGTAATACTCCATGTGTCCATATTCCATAACTTACTCACTTCTCTGATCCCTGGTATTTTCTGCTTTGGAGTGAATATAGACACTACTGAGATATTTCTGCATGGCTAGCCCAAGCTCATAGGTGTACATGCCTAAAAGAGCAACTGCTTGCCTACTGGGCAGGTGCATATTCAACTTTTGCTACAAACTATTTCCCAGAGCAGTTATAACAATTTGTATTGACAAGAGAAGGGTATGAGAGAATTTCTGTTGCTCAATTTTTCAACAAAACTAGTAAGGCTTTTTAATTCTTGCTAATTGAATAGTTGTGTAGTGGTAGCCTAAGAATTACCTTTTATGTAGAATTTTACAGTTGGTTATTTTGAATAAAGAACTTGGGAGGTCCTACATCTGACAATCGCTGCAGAGGAGATCTACATTTTCCAACCAGCATTTCACTTTTCCCATGGCTCCTTCACCCAATTTTTTTGCTAGGCATAACCCCTCCTCTGAACCCATCAGCTTCTAGAGTCAGGGCCTGTCCAGGCAGACTCACAGCTGCCCTGGCCAGAGCTGGTTCCCCCTCTGAATACACAACCCAGGTCAGAATCAGTGAAGTTTTCCTTTTTCATTCAGAGACTCACAATGACTCTCACTCTTTCCCAAAGAACCCAAACATGTGCACAAACAAGTCTGCAGCTGATGCTGCCCAGGCAAGCGTGTGAGGCAAGAGTCTGTGAGGCTTAGAGCATCTCGGGAGGGCATGGGGCTAGAGCCTGACCCAGGCAGAGCACGCCCCCCCAGCCCCCCACAGGCCTTCCATTCCACAGGGACATAACACCTGTGCTTTCAGGTAGCACTTACCTGGTGGTCAAAAACTGTTCAACCAGTTGAGGCCATAGGGCTGCACACATGCATGCATGCCCAATGTTCCTCCACTCACATCTTTGCAAATCTAAACAACACAGCTGATCTTAGTAAGTATATATTTCATGAAATGTGTCTATTTCATCTAAGTTTTCAAATTAATTGGCATGCTGCAACTTCTAATATCCTTATATTTTTATAGGTACTGAATCCACAGTGGCTTCTTTTTCTTTTCATTTCATGGATTGTCTTTTTTGCCACTTATCAGTTTCACCAGAGGTTTGTCAACTTTTACTAGGTGTTTCAAAGAACCAATTACCAATTTTTACCTTTGTCCATCTTTACTTTTTTTTTTTTTTTGGTGCAGTAGTGGCTGGGGGTGCTGGGGATGGAATTCAGGATCAAGCACATGCTAGGCAAGTCCTCCACCCTTGAGCTGTATCCCCAGCCCTGTACTAATCTTTCCTACTATAACTTTTCCATATGATTTATTCCACTCCTGTCTTTATTAGTTTCTTCCTTCTGTTTCCTTTGGGCTTCTCTCTCTCTCTCTCTTCGTCTCTCTCTGCTAATTATTATATTTATCTTAATTTTTGGCCTTTCAACTTTTTTAAAACTATAAATCTCCCTCTAAGAGCAGCTTTGATTACATTCTAAAAGTTCTGATATATAGTATTTTTAAAATAATTCTGTTGAAAATATTTTCTAACTCCTCGTTATATCATCTTCTTTGACCATGAGACATATAAAAGAATTTATTTTGAAACTCTACCATTTTGTTCCTGATTTATAGCTTCAATCTACAGAGGTCATATACTAAGATCTGAGAGACTTTTTTTTTTTTGAGAGAGAGAATTTTTTAATATTTATTTTTTAGTTTTCGGTGGACACAAAATCTTTATTTTATTTTTATGTGGTGCTGAGAATCAAACCCAGAGGCCCACACATGCCAGGCGAGCATGCTAATGCTTGAGCCACATCCCCAGCCCCTGTGGCTATCATTTGATGAGATGTTCTATGTGTGTATATGAGACCAAGGCTATTGATCCTATTTAAAACATCTGTGTTTAGAGATTTATTTTGTTCATCTGCTTGTCCTATCAATTACTGAGATGTGTTGAAATTTCCACTATAGTTATACTTTTCTTAGAAGATATGTCAATTTCTACTTTGCATAATTTGAAGTCATATTATCAGGCTACAAATTTGTAATTGCTATGATTTCCTTGTGAGTTGAAACTGTGGTAGAGTTTGTCTGCCAAAACCATTTCCTCTGCCTCCTGGGCACACTGCTGGATTCTGCTGCCAGCCTTCCTTGCAGTTCAGCTTGGTAATATGAACTGAGCTCCTTACCTCAAGGCCTGGCCAGACCACTCGAATGATGCTCCACACTCTCCCCCAAATGCAGAGGACCCTGCAGAGTATGCCAGGTCCTAGAGACAGTGGAGCCACAGGGCAAAGAAACCTGAGTCCCAGAATGATCTTATGGAAAGGAAGCTGACAGCCTGGGCTGCCTGCGCTGACTCTGCTATGCATGGCTCTGTTAGAACAGAGTTGCTCCCCCATGACACAAAATACCCCTGGTCTATAAGCTGATCTGCCCTGAAGTATGATTTGCTTGACAATGCTCAACCTTGCCTTGGTTAGAGACTGCACGTTTATTTTTCTTCACTATTTTACTGTCAACATTTCTGAAACTTTATGGTCTAGATGGACCTCTTGTACAGAGCATATCACTAGAATTGTGCAAACTACAATTTGACATCTTTTTTTTTTTTTAAATCCAGAGTTTATTTTCATTTTACTTATTGTGGACACTTAAGGGGTGCAGTACAATGATTTTCTATTCCTTTTCTTTGAGAGAGAGAGAGAGAGAGAGAGAATTTTAATATTTATTTTTTAGTTTTTTTGGCGGACACAACATCGTTGTTTGTATGTGGTGCTGAGGATTGAACCCGAGCCGCACGCATGCCAGGTGAGCGCATTACTGCTTGAGCCACATCCCCAGCCCACAATTTGACATCTTTGTCTTTTAATTGGAACACTTATCCATTTACCTTGGAAGTAATCATTCACATATAGACTTAACACTTCCATAGTGCCAAGGTCTTTCTATTTGTCTTCTTTTGGATTATTTATCATCCCAGTTCCTGCTTTTCAGTTACCCAGACATTATATAGTTTGCTTCTAATCTTTTAGTTATTTAGAAATTAAAATGTGCAGCCATGTATAAAAGTCCAATATTAATACTCAATATTTTAGCTGGGCACAGTGACACATGCCTGTAACCCTAGTGATTCAGGAGGCTAAAGCAGGAGGATCAGGAATTTGAAGCCAGTCTCAGCAATTTAGCAAGACCTGCCTCCAAAGGAAAAAAAAAAAAAAAAAGTAAAAAGCAGGGGGAAAAAATCCTACATCTTTATCCTTCTCTTGGATGACAAGGACCAAACCCATTAATTCTGTTTAGTATGTTCTATGTGTGTATATGACTTGCATGACCTGCATCCTACCGATGTGACCATGCACGGGTGTATTTAAAACCTGTGCGTCATTATTGTCACATGACATTCGTTTTGGTGACAGATGGAATTCTCTCCCCTTCAGTACATGGAAACCATCATTCCATGGTCTTTCTGGCATTCACTGCTACAGCTGTGAAGCCAGCTGACCATTTTGTAGGTGTTTTTTTTTTTTTCCCCTGTGAATATATTTAAGATTTTTCTCCTCTTTGGTTTTCTGCAGATTCACCATCACCTGTTTGTG